AAATAAACATATTCTGTCAGAATGTCCGAATTAAAATAGTTATAATTCGTAAAATCGGATTTTTAAAATTAATAGAATCTATGATCCTTTAAAATATGCAATTTTCCTTTATTAAATCTATTTTAATTCAATAATATATTAATCACTTTCTTAAAATAAGTAAAATTGATTGGCCCACAGTTATGAATACAATAATTACTTTGAATAGAATAACTTAGGCCTATATATATATATATATATATATATATATATATATATATATATATATATATATATATATATATATATATATATATATGTGTGTGTGTGTGAGAAAAATATAGGAACAATTATAAGACATTGATTTTTAAATATCGTGTGATTGTGGTCACATTATTTAGATTATGTGTAGGTATGCGTAGCTACTTTCTAGTTTATGTTTTCAATTTTCACAAATTAACTAACCATGATTTAAATAATGTGATCACAAACCATAAGATTTATAAATGTCAATGGCCTATAATTGTTCTTACATTCTCATAGAAATTGTTTTTCTCATTTTGTTATATATACACACACACTAGATGTATGCCTTCGTAAAGCGGCGACGATAAACAACTCTTTTGACGAATAATTTTCTTACGGGAAAAATAATTATTAGATTTTATTATTAATGATTATGAACAAAAAAATACAATTTCTAAATAAAATATTTATGTTTAGAATTTATGTTTATATTGCCTGTTTATACATTTGATATAAATAAATTAACATCGGTGTCTATTTAAGAAATATAAATTAATTTATATACATTTTAATATTTTGAAAATGTTATTTTGCTTCAAATTATATTTGTTAATAACTTTCCTTAATTCAATGCTTTAAAATTCTCGCAAGTATTAATGATTTATTTATGTATAATTGATTTGTACAAAATTTTTTGTAAATTATACATCTTAAAATTCAAAAAATAACTAATATATATATATATATATATATATATTATATATATATATATATATATATATATATATATATATATCCTTTCTAACTTTCTAATAGAATTAAAAAATATAACTAAATAATTTATTAATTTCATATCAGAATAAAAATAATAAATAATAAATTTCCATAAGATAATGGTAAAATTAAAAATATGAGTATATAGTCTAGATAGAACATGTCTTGTGAAAAAAAAATAGATGTATCGCTAGTAAACTAACATAAATAAATAAATAAAAGTTTCTTACATGCAAGAAATTATTCATTTAGTATATTATAGCTTTTCAAATTTCTATCAGAATTTTAACTAACTCCAACTCAAAAGACATAAGTAAAAAAATTGAAATTTTAACTAACTCCAACTCAAAATACATAAATAAATAAAAATTGATTAATTGATTTGAATTACTACTACAACTCTTCAATCTGATAATAAGATCATTAAAAACCACATCAATAATAAAGTTGGCTAAGTGTATTGGACCCTTTATTAAAATTTAAAGCCCCTTAAATTCCATGTAAAAGTTATTTAACCATTATAATAAATAAATAAATAAATAAACTTTGATGGCTTATGGTGCTCGGTTAATACTTATGATGCTTTTTTTTTTGAACGGCAGTAACCAATAAAATTAAAAGAAAACTAGCAAGACGCTAGAAATACAGACCATTAAGACTGGGTAGGATTTTGAAGCCACAAACTCCAATTAATCCTAGTCTTAGAGTTACGGGACGAAAACCAACGAAACGAAATATCAACAATGGAATCAAAAATCCTATCCTTTCTAGGCTTATTACTACTAAACAAAATACCGTTACGGAACATCCAAAGCACCCAAATGACCACAGAAAAAACCGAGTCAACAATCGCCCGTTGTTGCCTAACATTCGGCCTCGCATCGATCCAGTCCATCATGTCTCTCATAGAGAAAAAAACAGGGATATCCAAATCAAGTCAAATACTAACCCGCCTCCGAATCTGGTTTGCAATGGTGCACTGAATAAACAAGTGCAACACGTCTTCAGTAGCATCATGACACAAAGGGCACAAAACCGAGTCAAGATCCACCCCTCTCTCCACCAACTTCGACCTCACAGGAAGTCTATCCATCATTAAACGCCAAATAAAAACATTTATTTTAATGGGAACTGAACAATTCCATCTAGTAGGCATAGAACCCGACGGAAGTCTCGAATCATCGATCCAATTCCTAGTCGATTTAACCGAAAAGCACCCTGAATTATCAAGATTCCAAACCCATTTGTCTAACTCCACGCCAAGATGATAGCCATCCAACAAATACATCAAAGTCGTAAGCTGCTCCTGTTCAACCCCTCCTCTAATGTCACGACGCCAAGCAAAAACCCATCCCGTCGGAGACCAATAATCACTAACTAAAGAGTTTTGATTAGAAGCAAGCGCAAACAATCTCCCGAATTGCACCATCATAGGAACATCCAAGCACCAAACATCGTGCCAAAACCGAATAGTAGCTCCATTCCCGGTCACTCTAGCCATGGCATTCGAAGGCAGTAAACCACTCTCGTGAAGATGGTTAATAGACCCAACTATTTTTTGCCAAACACCACCACCACTTTGTATTCTCGAGCCCCCAGAAAAACCTCCCCCTTCACCATAAAAAAACTTCAGAACTTTCGCCCATAAGGCGTCAGGCTCATTAAAGAATCTACATTTCCATTTATATAAAAGACCCAGGCTAAAAGCATCTAAACTACCAATACCCAAACCACCCTGGGCAAAAGAGTTTAACGCCAAATTCCACTTAACCCAATGAATACGTTTTTGACCCTCTTCCATTCCCCAAAAAAAACGAGCCCTCATATTCTCCAAAGCCTGCAAGACAGCAACAGGAGGCCTAAAAATAGATAAGTAATAAATACCAAGGCTACCCAGAACTGACTTAACAAGAGTTAAACGACCTCCAATAGACAACAATCTAGCTTTCCAAGATCCCAATCTTTTTTTGAAGCGATCTATAATTATTTGCCAACCTTTAGCACGCACCATAGATTCGCCAACCGGAACACCAAGATACACAAAAGGAAAGGAACCAGCCGAGCAGCCTTTAAAAGAAGCGAGGTTGGAGATTTTAGACCTACTAACCCCCACACCATAAAGACTAGACTTAGAAAGATTGAGATTTAGACCCGAGACTAAATAAAAACATCTCAACACCCGAATCAAATTTCGGACATTATTCTCATTCCATTCTCCAAGAAAAATAGCATCATCCGCATAAAACAAATAAGAGATGGCTAAATCATGTAACTCAAGTTGGGCCCCCCTAAACACACCTTCCGACACCGCATCCTCCATAGCAATATGAAGACCCTCCATAGCAATAATGAAGAGAAAAGGCGACAATGGGTCACCTTGTCTCAACCCTCTAAACAACTGAAACTCATCCGTAGGGCAACCATTCAAAACCACTGAGGAACAAGCATTAGAAAACATCCCCCTAATCCAAGCCCTCCATTTTTTCCCAAAACCAAGAAACAGCATAATCCTATCAATATAATCCCAACTGACTGAATCGTACGCTTTTTCAAAGTCGACTTTAAAATCATCAATTTCTTCTTCTTGTGTTTGAACCACCGAACCATTTCATTCACAAGAAGAGGACCATCAAGAATTTGCCTGGATTTGAGAAAAGCAGATTGCTCCAACTCAATAACATCATGCAAGACCGGAGCTAACCTATTAGCCAACAATTTAGCAATAATCTTAAACTGCAAGCCAATGAGACTAATAGGCCGATAATCGTTGATACGAATAGGATTGTCAATCTTAGGAATCAATGTAATAAAAGAAGAATTACACCCAATGGGAAACCTAGGATTGACACTAAATTCCTGCACAAAATCCACCACATCATCACCCAAAAACTCCCAAAAATGTCTGAGAAACCGGAAAGAGAAACCATCTGGACCCGGCGCCTGGTCCAACCCACAATCCCAAACCGCCCTCTTGATCTCTTCAGTAGAAAACACTGACTCAAGTGAATAAGCCGTGTCGGGATCAAGAGATCTGAATCTATCACTCTTACGACCCATCGGAACTCCCTTAAACGTTTGGAATTTAGAAGCGTAAAAATCATAAAAGGCTTTTTAACAAGAGGGGGATCCGCAACCCACTCCCCGTCAATAGATATGCCTCTAATAAGTCTCTGACGTCTTTGCTGCTTCAACATGGCATGAAAAAAGCTGAGTTCTCGTCCCCCTCGATAGCCCATTTAAATCGAGTTTTTTGGGCTGAGTCAAGAGACCGAGACTTTTCCAAGGAAGCCAAATCACCGAGAATAGCCCTTCTCTCACAAGCCAAATCATCACACGAGCCACCATCATCGAAGATCTTATCAATATCAACCAATCTAGATAAGAGACAGTAACTAGAAACTCTAGATTCCTCCTTATGACCCGCAACCCATTTTTTTATCCGATCTTTCAAGAATTTAAGTTTATTTTTGAACACAACAAACTTACTCCAAGACCTGTCAACCACGAACTCCTTGATAGCATCTTTAACCATATCATTAAATCCATCAAGCTCTAACCAAGAGTTGAAGAATTTAAAAGATGAAGGACCATAATCCACCAAAGACACATGCAAGAAAATAGATGATCAGACCACCTTCTATCAAGAACCGAAACTTGAAGATTTTCAAATCTATCATAAAAAGCTTCATCCACCAGAAACCTATCCAGCTTACTTAACTTGGAACCAATAGCATCAATTCTAGAAAACCGTTTCCCAATCATAGGCAAATTGTCTATCTTTGAATATTTGTGGTACCCGAACTTATTTTAAAAGAAGTTGGGTTCATTCGTTGTGTATCCAGAATGGGGTGTCATTTCTAGGGTTGCAGGAGACTAGAATGACAAAAATTGACAAGTGTTATCCACAAATATTCAAAGATAGACAATTCATGTATCACCCATTTCAAAATATTGTTTCAAGACATCCTCAATATCTTCTACACCCACCTGAACTTTTTTCTTTAGCAACTTAGAAGAACCATGTGAACCAGAGGATCTCGACGCCGAGGCATTAAGATTAAAATTCCCGTGTAACTTCTCACGCTGGGACCTGGAGATTGAGATAAAGATTCCGAAGCCCCACCCCCCACTACTCCACCCTGACGGATTTCCTCATCAGCCGGCGAAGAGTCCCTCTGGGGCATAGTCGGCGACTTCACCGATGCATCAACCGGGATCGATTTGACCCGCTCATCATCTTCAAAGCATCTATCCACCTTCTTCCTTCCACTAGTTGGAAAGAAACGACCTTTTCTATCTACAAAACCAGCTCCTCGATCACCTAAATTTGGAGTGTTATCCACATTGAGAGAATTTGCTACCTCCTCATTACCGTTACCCTATCTTTTTGTATATCACACGTATCTTCACTAAAAAAATCCTTGGGTTCCTCTTCATCTGACAAGTCTGGAATATCCGAGCCCACCTCCCCCTCTTCCAATATATCTGGTTCCCAATTAGAAATTTCACGAACTGCCACATCATACTCAATACCTTGGGCAACCACTTTAACTGTCTCATGAATCAAAGTCGGCTTAGAAGTCTTAATACACGCCCTCTTGATTGCCAATGGAGCATCCCCATCATCATCTAGAAAACATACATCACCCCACATGTTAGCCACCTTAGAAACAACATCTTTATTCCATGCACAACAAGGCAACCCAATCATCTCAATCCACACAGCTCTTTCCTTAACAAAAAACCCATTTACAACAGGTCTAAACAAAGAAAAATAGGTCTTAATACCATTACATTTCTTGAACCTGGCGCAGACTTCTTCAGACAAAAATGTCAAATATACCCGATCACTAGCAACATACTTGATTTGAAGATCATCAAAGCCCTCTTCTTTCAATAAAATAAACAAATTTTGAATCAATCTAATATCCCTGAGTTTCGCAAACACCGAAGCCTTAAGGACAGATTATTGCATATTTCCTTCCCAGATAAAGTACAAACAGTAGATTTAGGCTCTTTCAGCCCATACATGCCCTTGCCCCCCTTAACCACAGTCGCATAGGATTCGAGCCCCTGCCCATTAATTTTCGACACCACCTGATCACCATGTACATGTGAATCAGACTGCCTCTTACGATCAGGTTCTCGTTGAAAACGAGCTACTGAAGCAAACAGGTGGTATAAACCCAACCAAATTTCTCTAATCTTTCTTTCCAACAATTTATCATCTGACACTTTAATAAAACGAACAAAGGCAAAACGTTTACCTAATTTGGATAGCTTCTTAGCAATGTAAACATCAGCCATGGTCCCCACCTTCGCACATGCATCCCATAATTCCTTCACTCCGAGATCAATAGGGAAATTTGTCACATAAAACGGGGAAGAAACATTTTCAATCAATTTCAGATTACCGACCTGAGTCCGAGATCGACTCGCAAGCCCATTCCCAACCATCGAACTCGCCAAAAGAAATCACAGAAGAAGAAACTTCGGTGTTTGATCCTGCCGGAGAATGAAGAAGACGCCGGCAAAAGAGTCCCTAAATCGCCGGACCTTAGGGTTTAAGCAACACCCAACAAGTTTGATAATTAGGATGATTAATACTTATGATGCTTATTATCCGTACTCTTTAGCAATATGTATTAATGGTGAAAAATAATGGACATGGGGCTTGTCAAATGATATGATGAAGGTGGTTATTAAAGAATATTCATCAAAGTTTAGAAAGTTTGACTTTGTTTAATATTTATTATTTAACACTTTCGGTTTAAAAATTTAAAATAATATAAATAAATTTTGTGTTCATTAATTTTATCTTAATAAATAAACAACATTAAAAATTCATTTAGTAGTGGTAGAAAGAAAACAATGATCCCTTAGTTTTATTACTATCCCATTAAAATTTCCTATTTTAAGCTTATTCCTAATAAACTACCTTAATTCGGTAAAATGTTTGTTAACTATAACAAATTATTATTTAATATTTCTACATTAATTTGGTATAAAAAAATTAGTTAACCAATCAGTTTTAGTAGATATCATAGTTTTAACTTATTGGTTCCATCGAACGTTTTTTACAACCTTGATATATATATATATATATATATATATATATATATATATATATATATCCAATTTTGCGGCCAATTAAATTTTTTTTATGTTTATTTAAAACAGAGTATTTTTTTATTAGTGTGTAATTTGTCCCACAAAATTATCAATGTGAGATAATATCAATATCAAAGTATTTCCGAAGAAACGTTTTTATTAATATTTAAAAGTTTGGGATGTCATAACCGATACAGAAGCATAAGCATAAGCTAGTCTTACAGGCTTTACAACAATTTATTTAATGGCCTAAAAACTCCTTAAATCTCTGGGAAGATTCAAACATCAATATCCATGTATCTTCGTACTGCTATATATGATACAAAGAAACTGAATGGTTCAGGTTTGAGAGTCTGGTGAGTACATATAATTTCAACCCACAATAATATAATTATAATCTTTTAAATATATATTTCGCACTGCACAAATAACCCAATTATCCATTCCCGTTCTTCTCACTCTCTGATCCTAAAATGATGATCTCAATGGATCTACCCTAAATGATCACTATAAGTAATAAGTATAGAATAATGCTTTGGGGATTATGTAAGGAATATATGTCAATGAGGATGGAGTACATGTATGAACATTCTTTCATTTTCCCTGAAAAGCATGATCATTAACACCTACAGGTAGCGAGCCTTCTAATGTTCTACAAGATTGTCTAGAAAAATCAGTGGTCGTCATCTATACTCTCACAGATGACTGCTCCTAGTTGTACAATAGTACAATTTGTGGCCTCTCACCATTATTTTATTTTCTCACAACCCTTCACTACCCAATACAATTTAAATATGATAAAATAAATATACAATTAAAATCATATCATATTATTGCATCTAGCACATATATCAAGAACAAAAATAATAGGCACATATATCATTTAATTATCTAAATACTTTGTATTTATGTATAAGATGAAAGTAACGATTCACACACTTGTTAAAAGTTGATGACTTGTGATTAGGGCAACGCTTCGCCTAACACCTTAGATTTTCCTTTTAATAGACCTAGATATGAATATTACTAAGTCTTAGTCGTATATCTACCGATCACAATAACGATAGTTTAGATTCCTCAATAATCTCAATGTCTACATCAAAAGAGAAAATTCATGAAATAACCAAAATTGAGGGGGTGTTTTAAGCATTTAACGAAGAAAATTTGAGTTTTGGAAAATGACCACAAGATCCGCAGAGGGGGCTCTGCGGATCGCTTTAAATCTCTGAGGAACGATGAATAATACCGAAAAATTGACGTGGCATCACTAAAAGACAAAAAAATATGGTGGGATCCGCAGAGAAATCAACAATTCCGCAAAGGTGTTGCAGGGATCCGCAGAGACGGCTCTGCGGATCTATCGGAGAGGAGCAACTACCATTTGCTCAGAGAAAATAAACTTACGCAGAAGGTTAAATGGATCCACAGAGCCACCTCTGCGAAACCATGATACCCACCATATTTTTTTGTCTTTTAGTGATGCCACATCAATTCCTCGGTACTATTCATCGTTCGTCAGAGGTTTAAAGCGATCCGCAGAGCCCCCTCTGTGGATCTCGTGGTCATTTTCCAAAACTCAAATTTTCTTGGTTAAATGCTTAAAATACCCCCTTAATTTTGGTTATTTCATTAATTTTCTAACACCAAAATCTATCAAATAAGGAATAACCAAGTAAGATCATATCGGATGTAGGGCCCATTTGGTATACATAGTATATACTGTTTGGAAGTACCACTTTAAACACCTCACTTGATCTAGCCTAGTCATCAGTCCCGTTAGTGGATCCATCGGTATTATGACTTAGAATCACTAATAAATCTTATTTATAAATTCATAATAACGGGTTATGAACATAAATATAAGTTACACTTAAAGCGTAATAAGCGGCTTAACTTACAGAGTTTCTAGCGAAAAGTAGGAAAGTCACGAGTAGAATCCCGACCCAAAAGCTTCTATTTTCCGAGCTCTCTGATGTCGCAGACTCTTGCTAAAATACCCTAATACATATGAGTTTTAAGAAGGAGTTAAACAATGATCTAATACAACTCCAATGATGTGGAGCTCATACTTGTATAATTCTATTTTGGTCTCGAACATGAAGAATGTCGAGGTTAGGGGTCGTGCCCTAATGGGGTCAAGGAATAGAGCCCCTAGCGGTGGTGAATTAGAATAAGGGGAAGAACTTTACAAAAAGAAAATACGCCTAACTCATACCCATATCCATTCTAAGAGCCTTGTAACATTCACTAAGTCTAACTTCAGAGACATTTGGATTTCCAAAGACTTTCATACTTTCCAAATGTTATCTTCCAAAATGTGACTTTAAAAGATCTCTAAAATGTAGTTCCTTAGATAGTGTTTGGTAGTGGAACCGGATGAGACAAAACTAGATTGGAACGAACCGAACAAAACTAGATTGGACTCGTTATGTAGTGTTTGGCAAGAATAGAACAAGACCGAACACAATAATAAAATTACCAAATTATCCTTGAAATTACTTTTAATATTCTTTTACCGTATAATGTTTATAAGTATGACATCTTATATAATAATTAATATATTATTTGTTTGTGACTTATATAATTTTTGCTAAAACATCCCTTTATATTTATTATCTTTCTACAAATTTATCTTGCATCTTATTTGTCACAATGACTTTATAGATCATATTATCACATAAGTATAACCAAATAATTTATCGCGTATAATTAATTTGAAATAATTTAACATATAACATATAAATATCATAAAAAGTTGTTATATTTAAAATATAACTATACAAATGAATAAGCTATAAACATACAAACCTAAAATTTACACATGAATTTTTCTATTATTTTAGTGTAAACAGACAGTATAATGCCAAATTTGGTTTTATATTATTTTTTATATAAAATTGTATAAAAATTGTACATATATGGAATTAGTGTTAGGTTGGATATGTTCTGAACATATAGACTTCGCATTTTAGGTACAAATGTCATGTTCCGTTTCTTAAGACTAATGGCATTGTGAGTGTACAAGAGAAACGCATTGGACCTCTCTACAAACATGTTTTCCCCCCACAACTAGCTCCGAGACTATCTTTTGTTGGACTACCCGAAAAGGTAAGCATATAGTTATTATTTTCCATTTCATCATTTAAAACATACATAGCTAACATGGTCTCCTAATATTAATTAGAGTCTTACATTTCTTATAATCGAGTGTCAATCAAAATGGATAGCAAAGACTTTATCAACGAAGATATCATTGCCATCAAAGGATCAAATGTTGAGAAACATCAAAGAAAATCATGGAGATATAGAAGATGATGGATTTCCTAAAGCTTACACTCATTTTTTTGAAATCGAGGTCTTTCTAAAGCTATTATTTTTTATATACTTCTTTAACATCAATTCTTATATTATGTATATAACATGTTGACTCCTAATGACAGAATGATTACATAGATTGGATGTCTGCTCAATTGGAAATGAACGTGGACAAGAAATTTACAGAGATGTTCAAATACCTCATCCACTGTTTTAGATCTGGGAATTTTGGTAATTTTATGAATTTATTCAAATTGAAATATGGTGTATGATTATTTGATTTCCAATAATGAATCTTCATTTATGCTTATCAAACAAATGTCTAGAAAAGAGATGTAATAAAAATGGTTAGCTCAATTGACTTGACAAATATTTCTTTGTACAATATGTTGTGAAATTTATCGGGGATGTTAAAAAATAATACCAAGTATAACAATATCCTACAAATAGTCTAAGAAAGGATTTCGATGACTAAATAACCATTTTATCCATAGATTTCAAAAAACAAATCTCACAATATTCATCGATTTTAAAGTGCAAGAAGATTGGAAAGCAAAAAGGTTACCATTACGCCAAAATTTTGGACTTAACCCATCAAGTCATTTTCTCATGATTAAGTAAATATGAAACAACCAATTTAACGGGATAAAAGAACCATACTCATGTTCATAAAATTAGTTGTAGCTGCAACTAATCATGGTCTTAAATTTAAAACGATGTATTCAAACCGGGTTTACACTTTACAACACGACTAAATAAACAAGGGTTTAACAGTCTTTGTAGAAAACTCATGACAATTTGCATATAAAATAAATAAAAACAAATCCACAATTTTCTCATTGCTTCTATGTCTACTTGATAAAGTAGGCAACACAAAACTTATTAATATACTAATAACAGCACAAAACTCTTATGAACATTACCTTACCCGGGGTACTGTTCATCGAGTTACTTTACTCCACCTGCGTTACTTCCACTGCATGAACCTTACGGATGTATCCCCACCGCTATGGTCTCCTGGTCAGATTACA